GATCCGGGCTTCATTCTTCAGTGAACAAAGTTTCGGACTTTGTGGGATTCGGCTTGTTCCACTGCTCTCAAGGGCAAGGTCGCAGTGTGTCCTGCCGTTGTCTGCGGCGCGGCGCGCGCTGGTGGTCATACTGAAAAGAGTTCGAGGTATTGAGTGCGACTCCATTTGGTTTCCGATTTCCTTAATAAATTTGAGTCGCGTGTCTTGAACATTCTCCGGCGTATCCTCCGGTGTGCCAAAGAACTGGACCTTATCATCTCCGGCATGTCCGAGTGTATGACCGCGTCCGACGCCATCATCCATCACACCCCTTCTTCATCTCATGCAATTAACACATACGATGTATTTGTGAGCTTTCGTGGTGAAGACACGCGCAACAACTTCACTAGTTCTTTCTTTGGAGCTCTCCGTCGAGAAGGCATTGATGCCTTCAAAGATGACGAATATCTCAAAAAAGGTGAATCCATAGCACCCGAGCTGCTGCAAGCCATTCAAGGCTCTCGAGTTTTCGTTGTTGTCTTCTCAAAGAACTATGCTTTCTCCACTTGGTGCTTACGTGAACTGTCAGAGATACTTAACTGCGTTAATACTTCACAAGACGTGTTTTACCTATATTTTACGATGTTGATCCTTCGGTGGTGCGCAAACAGAGTGGATGTTATGAGAAAGCATTTGCAGAACACAAAAATAGATTCAGAGAGGATAAGGTGAAGACGGAGGAGCTCAAAGATGGAGAGAAGCTCTCACACAAGTGGCCAATCTCTCCGGTTGGGATATCCGAAATAAGTGAGTACTCTTCTCTCTCAATTCAATAATTAGTAACCTGGACATGATAGAAGTATCAATTGATTTGATGACAAATCTAGCTTTATTGATATTTGGAAGTGCTTCACAAAAATTAAACTGCGGTTGCCTATATATACGGTATTCTGCATCTTTTTAACTAGTTTTGCTCATAGGCTAATCACAATATCTTATAGCTTTCTACGACTTTCTTTATGCTAATTATGATTTGTCTTATGTCATTATCTAAAAACAGAGGTTCAGGAGGAAACCTGCACATTGAGTACAAATACTATACTGTTAATAATAATAATAGTTTGACGGTTAAAATTTTTTACGTCTTATTTTATCCTAAAAATGTATATACTCTTTTCATGTTGTGTTGCGTGATGTTTTGCATTCATTTCATTTAAATTTTCAGGCCACAAGATGAACAGATTAAAGAAATTGTTCAAACCATAATAAATATTTTGGGACCAAATATTTAAATCTTCCAAGGGATGAACTAGTTGGAATAGAGTCTCGAGTTCAAAACTTAAGAAATATTTTGCGTTTTGATCTCCTTAATGATGTTCGAGTTGTCGGAATAAGTGGAATGGGTGGCATAGGAAAGACAACTCTTGTTCGGGCTTTATATGAAAGAATTTGTCGTCAATATAATTATCGTTGTTTTATTGATGATGTAAGCCAAATATATCGAGATTCTAATTCGTTAGGCATACAAAAGCATTTAATTTCTCAGTGTCTGAATGAGAAAAATCTAGAGATTTGCAATGTTATTGAGGGAACATGTTTGGTGAGGTCCAGACTGAACAATGCAAGGGCACTTATAGTTCTTGACAACGTTGATCAAGTTCAACACTGAGGATATTTAGTGGAAACAGAGTCAATTTGGGCGAGAATGCTTAGGTGGAGGAAGCAGAATCATCATAGTTTCTAGGGATCAACAAATATTGAAGATCCATGGAGTGGATGATATTTATCAAGTTCAACCGTTGAATTGGGAAGATGCTATCCAACTATTTTATAGAAATGCTTTCATCAAAGGTAATTATATTTTGAGCGATTATGAAAAGTTGGCACCTAAGATACTATCACATGTTGAAGGCCATCCCTTGGCAATTGAAGTAATTGGATCATCTTTGGTTGGCCGAAGTTTGTCACAATGGAAAAGTGTATTGGCTGCGCTAAAAGAAAATAAAAGTAAAAATATTATGGATATTTTGCGCATAAGTTATATTCAACTGGATGAAAAAGACCAACAAACATTTTGGATATTGCTTGCTTCTTCAATTCTTATTATGATGAAGATGCGAAGGAAATTCTAGATTTCCGTGGATTTCATCCTGAAGATAGCATAGAAGTGCTCAAAGATAAATCACTCATTACCGAAGATCCCTATGGATTCATACATATGCATAGCTTGCTAGTGGATTTGGGCAGGTGTATTGTTAGGGAAGAATCACCCAAAGAGCCTATAAAGTGGAGTAGGTTGTGGGCACTCAAAGATCTCCATGATGCTATGTCAGAGAACGATCCCCTTCTCCTCGGCTGAACCCAGCTCCTAAATGTTTTGATCTATACAACCTTTGGTGGATTTCAATTTATTTAGAATTACTTTATACCCACTGTCACAAAACAATACATCTAACCACCCAACTGCATGCCCCGATGTTTCCCCGATCAGGCAAATCGAATCACACTTGACAGCTTAACTCCACGTTTGTCACATCTCATAAACTGTGTTGCGTAGATTTTAGTGGGAAAGTGAGAGATAGTTGTTATTAGAGCAGGAAAGTGAGTGGCGTGACCTTAAGGAGAAAAGAAAGAGAGGTAAAATGAAGTAAGACAAACATCAAATAGTATTAAACACAGTATTTTCGTATTATTGTCCCTGCTTACTGAAAGCAGAAATTGTTGATAGAAAAGGGTACTATTGGAATTGCTGCAGATATAGAAAGCAAATAGTCAAGAAATATAGATCCAGTCCTGCGCCTGGTGGTAGAATTCTAAAGCTAACGCGTTTTATTTTTGCCGTCTCTTTCTGTGATTTTTTCGTTGAAGCTTCTTGCAAGACAAACAGTCAAGAAATATAGATCCGAGTCCTGCGCGTGGTGGTGGAACTCTAAAGTTAATGCGTTTCACTTTTGCGTTTTTTCGTAGAAGGCAGAAAAATATTTTCTAAGAATTGATTATAATAATCACGAAATTGTATTTTACAACTTATCATTAAAGAAAATAACGAATTATAGATTTTTTTAAACTATTATTTATTATATTACTATTATGATTCCTTTTTATTATTACTCTGAATTCCTGGAGAAGTATAATTCTCAATAAAGAAAGGTTATTTGTCAACAGGCTTCACTTATGTTTCTCGTTAACAAAAGCTACTTATGTTCCTCACTAATAATTAAAAACTAGTAAAGTTTTTCTTGGTACAGAGTTTCTTTACTTATTTATCTTGATATTCTAAATCAATATTGATTTGACATATATTTTTAATCTAGTAAACTGATTTTATTTTATTTCATTAAAATATTGATATATAAAATGTGGAGATTTATAATATATATAATTAAATTTTAACCAAGTTGGATTAGATTGTTTCAATTTATTGATTATTAAATAGTTAAACTAATATTTTATATTGTATGACATCATATATGAAAACGGTTATTTTAAAATAGAACTAAATATTATTTTATTCTCTAAATTTGAAATCTGAAATTAATTATATTTTAGTTTCAAATTTATTATATAATATAATTAGGTTATTGATTTTATGAGTATAGTAAAATTATTAATACTAACATTATCATATTTTAAAATAAAATTATAATTAAAATACTTGTTATAAAATTAACATGACATAATTAGGAAATAATCTTATTTGAAACTTGAGTTTGAACTTTTCGGACAGTCGATAAAATTATAATGGTGCTATGATTGTTCCATTTATTTGGAGAAGGCCTCTTATTGATGAGAAAGGAAAAAGCAAGATCTGTTTGTAAAAACTCTCTGACGCTTAAGTCAATAAGAGATGTTGAGACAAGATTGTTTAGAAACACAAGATGGTCCAGCAACTCATATTTTGAAGTTTAACAAACAACATTCAACGAGATAAACATAAAGAATATAATGATTGTGGTAAGATTTTATGGGTTTGATATTATGGAAACATAATCTAACCGAATGCTGAGCTAAACGCTAATGCTTAAAAGTTCAACATACAAACGTGGTGAGCCACCAAGCGTTTGACAAAACATGCTATAAGTCATTAAGAGATACACAATTATTTGGTATCTCAAACATGTTCAAGGCTTAAGTCATAAAGAGCGCCAAACACTATAAAACTCTTGATGAAGTGTCTAATCATCATTGCACTTAATCAAAATGTTAAGGCATTTGAACATTAAGTTATGCTAAGAACTGTTAGACGATATATTTATGCCTAGACGGGGTTATGAAACAAAATAAATCCAATATACTTGTCCAATTTCATTATTTAAAATAATGGAAATACTGAAGGAAATAAAACAACTCTAATTATATTGTCTTGAAATTTTAAATGCAATAACTTTAAATAAAAATCTAAAGTTTGTCCCTTATCATCTCTCGAATCTACCATGCCTCAACACCATCTACAACAGCATCTGTTCACATATAACACATTATACGATCATCACCGATAATATCATTCACAACACACAATACAAACACATATGGGGTAAGCTACCATTGAAACAATCATAATAAAAACAAGATATAACACATGGAATATATCAACCACAAACAACCACCCTATACCTAAAGGTAATAACAATAGAATTCCTAATGTTCTAACATAACAAATCAATCATATTTGATTACTTGATTCTTAACCCTTTGTCTATGCACTCATTAGCACCTTTGCTAACTACACACTATAACTATTATAGTAACATTGCTACCAACATAACATTCCCTGGAGCACTCCATACTATGATCATCATCATATATACACAACCACCATGGCCATCTTAGTCATGAACAAAGCATGAGCATCATTAAACCATAAACACCATAGTGGAAAGAGTCAGTCCCACTCCTGTACGCTACCTCATCGATTGTAGTCACTCCTACAGCCTAATCTGTAGATTTCCCATATAGATACGCTCGAGTAGTCCTGCAATCCAACTAAGGAAAATGAAATCCCACCACACAAGGACAAGGAAGACACCATCACCTCCACACAAGGAAGGTTTAATACCTGAACAACCCTTCCTATGCACACAAGGCAAATGAAGCACCTATCTACAGATAACACCATGATGTACTAGGTAGAGCAAGTAAATAAATCCTCCACTCTCATGCTAATCAATCACATGCTCAAGTACATCCCAACACTCACTTATGCTCTGATATAAACCACAAGTCAAATTTAACCCTGAACATAACCACCAATGTCATTCTTTGATCATCATCACATTCCACAACTCCTCAAGCTTGGTCCACGTATATTCTTCCTTAAATTTGTAATTTTTAACCAAAATGCACTTGGATAATCGATTATCATAAGTGATAATTGATTATTCTTGAAAAGATTGACGTTTTCACAAAAAAATACTATGATAATTGATTATCTTAGTGAAAAATTCTCAGAAATGTCACACATGAAGGATAATCGATTATCATCCCAAATAATTGACTATTACCGAAACCATACTCAGCATCAATGCGTAGATAATTGATTGTTGCCGAATCAAAACACATCCTGGACATAATTCAAGCATTCAAAACATTCATACTACAACCCTAGGTCACGAGAAATCATACCCAAAACATCATGCATGTATTTAAGCCTCACATACCATTATGAACCGATTCTAATACATATATTACATCATTTGAATCATCCAAATGCAATCATTAACATGTCATACACCAATAAAACGCAATTATATTGTATATGATTATCACCACACCCTCACAACATATATTTGCATGAAAACCCTCAAGCATTATAACTTTGTTATCTCTTAGCATCAAACCCTCTGTTGGGATAACCTAACACAACATATATAATACATTCATAAGGAAAACCCATCACAAATATGATAAAAAAACATATTCCCATGCATACACAAACCCTTAACCAACCATAACCACAAATGATCATAACCATAATCATGTATGTTGATAAGGGGAACCTAGCTTCTATACATATTGGTTTTTGATGATAAATAAGTTTAAATGATTAGAAATGGTTTTAATCAT